ACTTTACATGTAGTAGGAGAAACTCCTGTTGCAAAAAGAAATCGTAACATTGCGTATTAAGAAAGTGCATTGCATCCTCCCACTAATACTGTTATACTCGCAAACGCATTGACGCATATTCATTTAATCGTTGTTTGACACTTTGGTAATTTTAACTCATCATCATCATCATCATCAGCCTGACTACGTCCACTGCAGGACAAAGGCCTCTCCCATGTTCCGCCAGTTAACCCGGTCCTGTGCTTGCTGCTGCCAATTTATACCCGCAAACTTCTTAATCTCATCTGCCCACCTAACCTTCTGTCTCCCCCTAACCCGCTTCCCTTCTCTGGGAATCCAGTTAGTTACCCTTAATGACCAGCGGTTATCCTGTCTACGCGCTACATGCCCGGCCCACATCCATTTCCTCTTCTTTATTTCAACTATGATATCTTTAACCCCCGTTTGTCCCCTAATCCACTCTGCTCTCTTCTTGTCTCTTAAGGTTACACCTACCATTTTTCTTTCCATTGCTCGCTGCGTCGTCCTCAATTTAAGCTGAAACCTCTTTGTAAGTCTCTAGGTTTCTGCTCCATAGCTGCAGCTGTTATGTACCTTCCTCTTGAGGGATAAGGGCAATCCACCTCTCATGATTTGAGAGTGCTTGACAAATGTGCTCCATCCCATTCTTATTCTTCTAGTTACTTCAGTCTTGTGGTTTGGCTCCGCGGTTATTACCTGTTCTAAGTAGACATAGTCTTTTGCAACTTTAAGTGCACTATTACCTCATTCAAAGTGCTGTTCTCTTCTAAGGTTGTTGTACATTATTTTCGTTTTCTGCAGATTAATTTTAAGACCTACTTTTCTGCTCTCCTTGTGTAACTCCGTAATCATAAGTTGCAATTCGTCCCCTGACTTACTCAGCAATGCAGTGTCATTGGAAAAGTGCAGGTTACTAAGATACTCTCCATTTACTCTTATCCCTAACTCTTTTCATTCTAGGCCTCTGAAAACCTCCTGTAAGCACACGGTAAATAGTATTCGGGAGATTGTATCCCCCTGCCTTACACCCTTCTTGATTGGTATTCTGTTGCTTTCTCTGTGAAGCACTATGGTAGCAGTTGATTCGCTGTAGATTTCTTCCAGCATGTTTATGCTTCGTTGACGCCCTGATTCCGAAGTGTCTGTATGACTGCCGATGTTTCTACTGAATCAAGCGCCTTCTCCCAATCTATGATGACCATGTATAGTAGTTGGTTATATTCTGAGCACTTTTCTATTACTTGATTGATAGTATGAATGCGGTCGATTGTTCAGTAGCCTGTACGAAATCCTCCTTGTTCCTTTGCTTGATTGAATTCTAATGTTTTCTTTACTCTGTTAGCAATTACCTTTGTAAATAGCTTGTATACTACGGAGAGCAAGCTGATCGGCCTGTATTTCTGCAACTCCTAGTCATCTCATTTCTTATGTATTAAGATGATGTTAGCATTCTTCCAAGATTCTGGACACCTCGCAAACAGGGTGGCTAGTTTTTCTAACACAATCTGTCCTCCATCTTTCAGCAGATCTGATGTTACCTGATCCTCACCAGCAGGTTTGCCTTTTGCATTCACTTCAAGGCTTTTCTGACTTTCTCTATATTACTGGTGGAGTGTCATCTGGGTTACTGTTAGTTCCTATATCAAGGTCGTGGTTGTCCCGGCTACTGTACAGATCTCTGTAAAACTTCTCTGCTATTTGAATAACCTATATGGATAGGTTAATTAACCTATCCATATAGGTTGCTACTTTGCCTTCCTTGTCCCTCAGTGCATACATCCGATTTTTGCTTATCCCAAGTTTCCTCTTCACTGCTTTGACGCTTCCTCTGTTCTTCAGAGCGTGTTCAATTCTCTCCATGTTATACCTTCTTACATCGGATACCTTACGCTTATTAATCAACTTCGAAAGCTCTACCAACTTCATTTTGTCTGTTGTACTTGAGGCTTTCATGCTTTGACGCTTCTTAATGAGATTTTTCGTTTTCTTGAAAAGCTTGCCAGTGTCCTGTCCAACTACCATACCTCCAACTTCAACTGCACACTCTATAATGATACTCGTTAAATTATCATTTAGTGCGTCAACGCTAAGGTTGGTTTCCTCAATAAGAGCCGAGTACTTGTTGTGAAGCGAGACTCTGAATTCCCGTACTTTCCTTCTCAGTGCTAGCTTATTGATTGGCTTCTTGCGTATCAGTTTCTGTTGTTCCTTCTTGAAGTCTAGGCGAATTCGAGACCATACCATTCTATGGTCACCGTATCGTACCTTACCAAGCACTTCCACATCCTGCACGATGCCTGGATGGGCACTGATTATAAAGTCTATTTCGTTCTTATTTTCGCTATTAGGGCTCCTCCATGTCCACTTGCGGTTTCCTCGTTTTCGGTAGAAGGTATTCGAAATCCGTAAATTATTGCGTTCTGCGAATTCTACTAGTAGCTCTCCTCTGGCATTTCTAGTACGGATGCCATAATCTCCCACTGCCCAGTTTCCAGCCTGCTTCTTCCCTATTTTTGCATTCAAGTTTTCCATCAGTATAGTATACTGTTTTTATCTTACTCATTGCCGATTCTACGTTTTCATAGAAGCTTTCAACTGAAGCGTCATCATGACTGGATGTAGGCGCGTAAGCCTGTACCACCTTTATCTTGTGAGTTTAATTACGATACCTACCACCCTTTCATTAATGCTATATAGTATTCCTCTATGTTGCCAGCTATGTTTCTGTGAATAAGGAACCCAACTCCCAGTTCTTTTCTGTAAGCCAAGCCCTGATAGCAAAAGACGTGCCCATTCTGTAGCACTCTATAGGCCTCATCTGTCCGCCTAACCTCACTGAGCCCTATTACATCCCATTTAACACCCTCTAGCCCCTCGAATAGTACAGCTAGACTTGCCTTACTAGATACGGTTCTAGGAATAAACGTTGCCAAGTTCAGGTTCTAATGGTGGCCTGTCCGGATCCAGAGAATCTTAGCACTGACCGTAGTTCAGTCTAAATACTGCTTTAGCCCTAGCCAATATGGCGTCGACCAGGGAACGTTCTTACGGCTTGTTGCGTTGCGACTCGTTGCCCCTTGCGGTGTCGACGTTTTGTCGAGTCCTCTGTCTTTGACGGGCTGCTCTACTTCTTACAATCGCTGTTGGTTGCTCCCGCCGCACCAACTGCTCTTCCTCATCAGGAACTCTCCCTTTGACATGTCCACTTTGCTGGCTGGTGTGAGCTTCTCCCGTTCTAGTGCGATGTGAGGAAGCTGCAAGTCCACCAGGAACTGCTGGGCAAAGTTGTGGCAAGTCCGGGATGCCTCACTCGGAACCTCCGAGGTTGACAGTCACTTCACCGGTTCTCCGCGCCGACATCCTTCAGGGTCAGGCAGTCATGCTGCTCTCGTCGCCGTAGGGATGCTTGTTTCTCATGTCTTCGCAGCTCGGCATTCCAACGCACAGTGCCAGCTCATTGCCCGGGATTTTTCTTTTTGACGTGGGTCGCATACCACGAGCCTTTTCGCGACCAATCTTTTGCGTCGACGTGGCTAGTGCACGTGCTCTCGGATGACTCCTCGTGAACCGTCCCCCCGCTCCCACGTACTGCCTCTCCTTTACTCATGACAGACAACACCAGTGCGAGTCGTGCAATTGAGGAAAAAAGTCACTTAAAACATTTAGTTGCTGCCACTTTTGCCGCGTACATCACCTTGGCATGAACGTAACGACAAGGTATACAATGACTCCCACTCTTAAACAAAGTGTGCTATGTGCGTTTATTTAGTTGAAACAAGATGCCATATGCAACATTGTCATTTGACTCAAACACGTTGACAAGCAAGGTGAGGTGAGATGCACATTCAATAGTTATGGCTGTACAAGTATCAAAATTCATGAAGTCAATCTGAGATCACTCCGCCATTTCTCGCTTTGAGTCATAGCTGCGAAAGTTACAGCAGACAGCGAAGAAACCTGGTAGCGAAAGTTAGTAAACAAAAATTGCAAATGCCCTTATTAAGTGTGATTAATGCCCCTGTTTTGTTTTGTGAAACTGCAAAAGAATGGTTCCTTTATTTCGAACTTCACGTTAAATGTGACACTTTTTGTTATAGTACCACAGTAGGTACCATGCAGAAACGTCACCTTCGAGAGATGCAAATTACTTTTTCATGGACTTAAAGATGAACATAATGGAGGGTGCCATTAAAAGAACAGATATATTGCTAAGCTGACACTGAACTCAGTGTTTTCACAATTTTTTCATCAAGCTTCCATTATTTCAATATTATTGCTGCATTGCAAGAGACATATATAGGTCAAGATTCTTAGTACTCGTTAGAAACTACTTCCTTTGTAGCGTGGAGGCATACAAAATAAGAGCAACGTTGACTCGTGGGTGGAGCTTATACTTATTCTTAGGCTGTTATATATATACTATGGGTGCTCCACTGCAATGAAGCCACCTTCACAGGGGTTATATGCAGGCTAATATACATTTATTCGTTTTACTTTGAATACTTGAAAATTTTCAAGAATTTAAAATTGAATTGAAGAAAATTTGAATACTCGTTCATATTCAAAGCATTCAAATATTCACACAAGCCTATGCATTTCATTTAGGCACACATCCAGGCATCCAAATAGATGGTGCTATGTGCTTAAATTAAACATATTGACATTGTAGTGACTACACCTTATGTTACACTGCAGCGTGCTGCACAGGCCAGTGCAGTTGTGTCTGGTCGAGGCATGGTCTTGAAGATTGCAGCCCCAGAGTCTGGTCAAAATATCGCCTTTTAGACAGCTACATACCGATCTCGGAAGTCATGTTTAACTGTGGAGAGGGCCTATCGAAGGAGGACATCTCAGTGAGCTCATCCCTAGCGATTGGCCATGTGTTCAACAGAGAATTCGCTCTCGCAGTATTCACCATACTGAGAATAAACAGGCTGTGCCCTATAGCAACACTTCCTTGCTTCAGTGCTTAGGCTGACCTGTGGCAGTTGCTTGGAGATGCGACGGAACACGTGGTAGTAGAGGTCCCAAGCTTGAGTCAGATCTTTGACATTCAAGGAACGCTGGTACTTCTTGCACCACTCTAATGCCTCCGCCAAGTCTCGACCATAGGCCTGCAAAGGTTCAATGCACATACTCAAAATTATTACAAAGGCAGTGATGTCAGATAGAAAAAAATCTGTAATTTTTTTTTTGAATTCTCATGTAGAAGTGTTCATTTAAAATGTTGTTTTAATGAAAGAAAATCTTCCTGTCAGTACCTACAATAAAAATTTCCTTAGTCAAAAATAAACATTTACCAATCCTTTCAAATGTTAAGTCAATGTGAATCTGTGTGCAAAGATGCCACAACTATATTAAAGAAGCAGTGAAAGCAAGTGTATTCTAACAAACACTCAAGGCAGGCATCCCTTGAATATGACTGTAATAAATTATACTCATTTATCTTATTTTTTTACGATAATTTGATTCATAGATATTAAAAAACACATACACACAATAAACACATATGCATTAAAAACACATACACACACTATAGACAACCTGACACCCCAGATTTCCCTGCAATAGCAAGCCTAACATGGCTGGTTTGGAATTGAACTCATTTGAGTTCAACCAAGAGTACTTTCGACAAATCAGCGAAACTGCCATGGGTAAAAGCTCGTACCAAACTATGCAAACATTTTCATGGGAAAACTAGAAACCAAATTATTGTCCCAAACGCCCTTGAAACCACTGCTATACAGAAGGTATATTGACGACATTTTTATGATTTGGACTCGCAGCGAGGATGAACTGCTAAGCTTCATCGATACTTACAATACTCCCACTTCCCATTCCCCCACCGTAGGGTAGCAAACCGGGCATATGCCTGGTTAACCTCCTTGCTTTCTCTCTTTCTATTTTGTTTTTCTTGTCCTTCCTACAGCACTGTGCATCCAAACATACACTTCACACACACCTACTCACAAGTAACTGTAAATTTTCTTGACGTTACTATAACAATAGGATATGACAAACTTTCCACAACCCTCTATCGCAAAGCGACGGATCGACAGCAGTACCTCCATTACCAAAGTGATCATCTACGCCATTGTAAAAACAACATTCCATACGGCCAGACCCACCGTTTTAAGCGAATTCACTCAAAAGACACTGAGTTCCATGGGAGCTCACAAAGGCTAAAACTTATGCTCGATAAACATAAATATCCTCCACATGTACTTAATTACGCCATTCAAAAAGCTCGTAAACTAAAATGTGATGACCTTCTTACGAAGCGGCTACCACAACACAACCTGTAACAGACACACCTGTGTTTAACTGTGTTGATGTGCTCTTCGAGAATGATGTCCATCACTGCAAAATTTTTAGGAAGCTTGTTCTGCATGTCGTCTGTCATAAGCGAAAGCTGCGAAATCTAGAGATGACGAAGACCACCAGCAAAGGTGCACGGGCGCGTGCTCAGAATGTTGAAGAGAACTCGAGGCACTAGTGCGAAGTAGAAGCGAAGGACAAAGAGGTCATGAGCTTGGCTTGTCTTGGGGAACTCGGAGGCGGAAGGCCGCATCATCAGCATACACCAGCGATGGGCGTTCAGATGAGCTGCCTGAGACGCGGGCGTCCCAAGGTGGCCAGCAAAATCAATGGGTATCGAAAAGAGGCTTCTCGGAAATGCAGCTACTGTGCCCAGCAAAATGAGCGTTCCCGGCGCAAGCCCCTTTTTCGGAAGCGAGCCTCCCAAGGCGATCCCAGGAGTGCCACGTCAACAATGGAACACCACGCAGAGTGACAGTACCAGTAGCCCGAAACGGACTTATAGCGTCAGCGACGACAGCCTGCACACACAGGCAGCGACAGAAGTATCAAGCTGCCAGCACAGGATTGACAACAGACCGAACTTTGGCAACAACCCAACCAAGTCAGTGGCGTCACGTAAACCAGACCGAGACATCTGAAAAGCTAAGGCGAGACTTAAGACCTAATTAGGACATTTGCGTTACTGATTAGGTGTGTGTTAACTTCCAGTTATTTCGCACTCATTTGTTAGTTGTACATTTGTATATATTTTAGAGTGTCGTTTTTTTTTTTTTTTGATAAATGTTTGTTCGTCTTTTCAGTCTGAGTCCATCGCATGGGGCCGCACCTGTAATTCATGACATCATCGGGGCTTAACAGCGATTGAGTTCAGCTAGGACTGCCTTTGCTTCGGCACAAGGGGGCTCAAAGGGGACCTTCCTCCATTGCGCACGATGTGGGCGGGTAGTCAGCGGGTAAGCTAGGGTGAGTGCATACGTAACGAGCTGCTAGCTCAACGATAATCTGAGTTTCTGCGCAACCTGAGAATTCGAGTTTGTGTAACAATCTATCAATTGTGAGTTGTTGAGATGCTTTCGATGGCTTGTTGCCTAGTTGGCGTTCCAACAGGTTCCATTTGGCCCACTTTCTCATTCGAACATCTACCGAGTTGCACACTTCGTCCGAGTGCCGATGCTTTAGGGTGCAGCAGTGGTCCTCGATCTGCCAGTTGAGATCAGCCATGTTTTTGCACAGATTTCAGTTGAAGGACCCCTGACAGCGAAAGCTTTCTTAGCAACTTTTTTTTAGTGATTTTTAGCGTTGCCTATGGTAATGCTGAAATTGAATTGTAAATGTTTTAATGCAATGTATAATTTATGTTCGATTTTGCATCAGTTCGAAATACCAGCCTAGATACCATAAGAAACAAGTGACCCACAGCAGGGCAGTGCCCGAGACTACATGCAATCAAGCTTTGGTGATGCTGAACCCGCTGTTTTCAAATAAGGGGACTCGTGGGCGGGGAAGAATGAAACAATCTGCATGCTTTGAGCGTGTTTCTCCTAGAAAAAAGAAAACCATTCCTGGCCTAAGCAGCCAAAACCACTTTGAGAGCAGCTCGACAACAGAGCAAGAGAGATGACGAACAATAGTCCTTGCCTGGTGCCAGTCGGGGTATTGTGTGCATGCCACAAATGTTCTCTGATGCCAAACATTTTTGCTTGACCTCTGCAATGTCACAAGGGGCCCCCCTGTCTACGTCAAACCACAGAAAATGTCGATTGCACCTTAATGCTCGGATGAGCACGCACCCTTACTTTAAAATATCTTATAGGCAATGATCCCCACTAATAATTAGTCAAAAGTGCCTCTGAAACAGGACTCTAAACTACATAAACATCTCGAATTTCCAAATTTGGTGTCAGGAGTCCTTTAAGCTTTTGTGTTCGCCATTCCGCGTGAAGTGCATTTTTAGCCTTGAGAATGTTAGGAAGACAGCTGTCGATGTGCTAAACCACTTGGTCCGTTTTGACATCCTTAGTAAACTTAGCAAGGTCCTGTTTAAGTCAAGCGAAGAGTCCTGCCAGTGTGTTGTAATGGGTATCGCCCCATTTCCTGAGTACTTGAAAAATAGGTCTCAGTCCGTGATTCTAAAGTTCCTGATTTTGTTCATGAAGGTGTTTTATAAAATGTGTATGATCAATGCCGAGGTTCACCTGTAGATTGGTCCACGTGGGTTAACCTGCATTTTAAACCATTGTTAGATCAAGTGCACTGTTGCCGGCAACTGAGTTGGTTACTCGAGTGGGAGAGTTAGGGTCCATTAAGAGTGTGAGTCAGTGAGTATTCCTTTGCAAAACCACAGCAGTCCCTTTACGAGAGGAGCCTCTGTACGCGAAGTCTTGATGCTGAGTGAAGTCCCCGGCAATGATGAGCATATGATCTACTGCAATTTCACTCACTCTCTTGAAGAGGACATGGAAAGTGGTCTAAGTGTTCTTAGGTGTGCTGTACACATTAAGGATAAAGATCAACTGTTTTAGTAGGGAGTTTGGTATGAGGTAAATCAAAATGTGTTCGTTTTCGCGGGCTGGGCGGACCTCGTGGCGAACGTATGTGCATTTCTTCAAAATGAGGGTGCGCTTATGCGAGGGTTTCCTTCATTAAGATAGGCACGCATAGCGGGTTCGGTGGTAGAGTTTCTTGGTGTAAAATTATGGCAGAACAGTAGGCACTGAATTTAATAAATTGTATCGAGGGCTGCTTTTCGCTTTGATATGGCTAATGAGATTCTATTGCCAAACTACAAGATTGGTTGTGAGAGCCATTATTGCTGCATGAGAGAAGGCACAAGTTGCAGCGCTGCAATCTGCGTTCCTGCTCCTAGAATTCGTAGTCGATTGCAACGCTCGGTTAGCTGTAGTTTAATAGGGGTGATTTCTTCAATCATAGCTGCGTGAAATTGCTTGAGTATTTTAATTAAGTTCTCTATAGTGAGCAGTTTGTCTTCTCTGTATTCAGCTGCCCTGCATTTCATTGTGCGACACGCGGCTGCCGCATAAGAAGGAGCTGATTCTGCAGCAAGTGCGGCGGGTGCCGGTTCGCCGACACCGCATTCTCTTTTTCGTAAGAGTGTAACTGATAAAATACAGACACTCAGACGTGAGAACACGTTTCTTCTAAATGAGCCTACTCACAGAGATTAGGGCACCTTTACGAAACATGCAGAGGGTACACGCAGTTAGCGAACCAGCACCTGCTGCAGATTCAGCTCCTTTTAATGCGGCGGCCGCAAGTTGCGCCATGGGGTGGCCATATTCCCTTACACCTGCGTTTGGCAGAGTTACATGAGACTGATTCCAAAAGAGTTGGTTGCTAGCCTTACTTTGTAAACACTAGAATTAAGGCCACTTCAGTGCAGTCCCAGTGCAAGAATACGCTTTGGAGCAGGATGCTCAAGTTGACTTGCACAACATGGCACACAGCACTTCTACCATTGTGTGTGTTACCCTAGGTTGTGTCCAACAAAGTAAACGATCCGTTGCTTTCCTTTTGCTAGAACTTGACTTTTTGTGCACTTGAAAGCACTTTCAGTGGAAAGCCAAAGAAAATGTCAGAAAATGTCTTTTTCATTTTGGTTTGAATTGTCATACCTTAAAGTCCTTTTGTAGGCATTATGTGCATGAATAGAGAAGGGGCTAGAAAAAATATAAATAATTCACCATTACGGTATACACAACACTGCCAGTTGAAGAGATACATGATACAAAGGTGATAACATAAATATACATAGTAATGAAATAAACAAGAAAAGGAAAAAAACATTAATATATATCATATGTATTGATAAACCACAAAATGAAATATAAAATGAAAGAAAACACACTTTGTAAAAACCAATTTGTCAGGATGAAACAAAATTTTGACAACCACTTACTTGTGGCACAAAGCTTGCAGCACTAAAGATACATATTTCACAGATAGCCTTATTGACAAAATTGAACGTGAAACTAATGCCTCTCCCAGGTGGTCATTTTATCAATTGAGCTAACCAAGATGATAGCGATTGGCAGCACTAGAATGAATGATTTGAGAGAATGAGGCAAGGGTTTTCATAGTATTGTCATATTTTCCAAGATTTGATGCCACTGTGCCAAGAATTTTTTGTCAACGAGGAGGCTTTCTCTCAGAATAATCCATATGTATTTTCATGCACGTTTAAGACATAAACATGTGGTTGCCAAAATTCTATTTCATAACTCTTCTGCTACTTTGTGGGATGGTGCAAAACTAATTTGCAATGGTCAATGCATTAGTGCAGTGCTCATATCCCATTTAATAGTGTACAAGCTGTGATTGCCTTTGCAGGTGCTAATCAGACCTGATGAAAAGATGTCTCCCGCAACGTCTGTGGCCCTCGCTCCATCATGGCATGCAGGGGCTCCAAGGTGGCAAACATGCCCTTGACATTGCGCTCACCGAAGTAGAGACGAGAGGCCTCTTCCAGGCCTTCATGCCACAGCTCATGCCACAGAATGGCCACCCGTATGAGCTCTTCACTCACCTGCGTAGCACACAAAACTCTGTATCCAGTAGCACTGACACTTTGCTAGGAGAAAAAGCTCCTCTTTCACTAAAATGTAGCAGTAGGCCTCTGTCAAGAACAGTTTATCCTGGTTAAGCAATTCAACCTGGCACTAATTAAGAATTCCGTGATTTCAGTGATGGAACATTCAGAATCAATATATCACAATGGGTACAATGCATTTTTGATCTCTATAATTGCGCAATGCCAAGAATGAACAGAAGCAGCTGCCCGGATTTCATCTATTTATTTTTTGTATTGCCACGTTGTTCTAATACCTCTTTCACACGGCAACCACTGAACTCCATTTACGTCTGTTCAGCATTCAACTCCCAAATGAAGCTTTATGAGAATGGTGTTGGGGCCATGCTACACGGCTTAGTGCAAGCTTTCGACGGGAGCCCCACAGAGCAGAAATGGCGCTTGTCAAAATATTCCATTTTCGCGTATGAGTCTCCTTTAAAGCAACGCACACGTCTTCATCTCTGATGTATTCTAATAACGAGAAAGTAAGCTGTACACGTGCGTGTGTCTGGTATAAACAAACAATATGGCACGACAGGTGGTGGCTTGGTGAAGCGTTGGGTACAGACACTGATGTCTACAAAAATAGAATTGAACCTTGTGCTACCCAGTGTATAATGCTACAAATTATAGTATAATGTTCAAATCTATAATTGAGATTACTAAGACGATTTTGTTTCCACAGTTTTTTTAGTACACCATTGAGCCCAAGTGGTCATTACTGAACTCCCTTTTCCTAAAGCTCCATTTAAATTTCACAGCAAAATGGAGGCCGTGCGACATAAACTGCATCTCGTTCAATGAAAAGACAAAGTGCTTAAATCGAGTTCCGTGGTGGCCGTGTGACAGGGGTATAACATGTGCAGCCCTTTCCGGACAAAAACGGATTCCTTGGCAACGATACTTTTCATAAAAAGTAGGGGTGTGCAAATATTGTAAATTTCGAATACTTTTCGAATAGTGTTTGTTATTCAATTCAATTCACACTGAAATTTTCACAATGTGAACTATTCAAACTTCCCAGAGACAAATGCAGTCAACATCCGATTAAAAGCAACTCCTTCCAACCTGTAATATGCTTCGCCCCATTACAGTTCACTATTGCAGCAAAGCTGCCTTTAAAGCTCCGCTATGTTTGAACTTTTTATTTATTTATTTATTTAACAATACTGTAGGTCTTCTGCAGACCCATACAGGAAGGACTAAGTACAGTCAACGTCAGATTAAATGTGACCTCTTCAAATTTTCGATATGCTTCACCTCCTCGCACTATTGCGGCAAAGCTGGCTTCCAGTCTCTGCTACAGCCGCAAAAGTACTGACTCAAGAAAACACTGGTTCCAACATAGAGATGATAAATGTGGCAATGTTAGGGGGCCCAGTTGACACTGTTTTTAACTTGAAATTTGGGCAGGAAGTCCAAAATAAACGCCCAAAATTTTTAGCAAGCAAAATTTCAGATGTACTTTTTTTTATTGTACTGACGTCTACAAGGCAGATGTATAACTCCGGACTCACTTGTCTGCTATATCAGGTACTTCTCTGCGTTGCCTCATTCTTGATAAGACATGAAGTGCAGTGAAACTTCGTTAATACGCACCTGGCGGGGAACGCGTAATAACTACGCACTAATTATAGTGCACATTAACCAGCAAGTACAAATTATTATTTTCTGGCGTGCGTCATCGCCGCCAACAATGAAATAAGTACAGTGGCGCAGCAAATATTGCCTATGGGGGCTACCACAAAGCTCTTTCTTTTTTTTTTTTAAATCAAAGTGCACAAATGATTCTGGCACTCTCGCACAACAGTCTGACGGCACACGGTGACGATGCCAAGGAGCATTTCGAAACTAAAACGGCGCCCTAGGTGCGTGCCCGAGATACGCAGTGACTGACACAGCAACAGAAGGGACATAATCGGCTGCCAGCAATACATGCGTTCTGCGATTTGCATACTTACCGAAAACTGACATCTTTAAAAATTTTTTAAAACCACAATACGGTTGCATGCAGCCAATTGTTTACTGGTTAGTTGCGTGCAGCGCTTCGCCCACTTGACATTCGCCATGACTTGAGAGCCGCTTGCTATACAATAAGTCAACTTCAGTTCAGAATGCACATATGCGGCGAGTAGCCTGTCGGGTAAACGCGGCGATAACGAGGCTGTCGCAAACAATGCGCACTCCACGATGCTTTAACAGTTCCGGCAGCAGATGAAAGCGCATTTGGGCCGTTGCCTAATAAAGGCGTGCAATACGGTAACAACAGCGCAACACTTACTGTGCCGCACGCGTGTGCTTAGTGCAATACCGTCAGTACAACAAAATTTCTTGGTGCCCGCGACCCACAACACTTGACTCCCCATTAGCGAGCCGCTTTTGTTTCTGCCAATGCGGTGCGTGCAATATGATTACAGTCCCGCACAAAGAGGCTGCAGTCCAATACAATCAGGTAGTCTCCTATTAAAAGCCTGCAGCAGGCATAAAATGGCACTATGCCACACGCGTACCCCAGCGGATAGCTGAGGATGCTTAGTAGTATAATGCTTTTTGTCGGCGATATGCGATCATACTAGCATGTTTCTTGGTGGTTGCCACCACGCCTTAGTTCTCTCCCGATGATTACCCACAAAGGCACCGCCGCAATCGTGCGGAAGTCGAAATAATTGATCAATTGGTCTCCGCACTTTTTGAAACGACAAAAATGATTTGCATCAGGTTGCGGTATCAGAAGTTCAGCAACACGGTAAACTTTTTTGGCAGAAAAAGTGATCGCTGCGGGCAGCTGATACACATTAACCGGTAGGCTTAGGATGAACTACAGTCGAGCCCGCTTATAACGAACCTCAGCCCGACGCGGCATCTGTTCACTGTATCCCGAAGTTCGTAGTAAATCAAACATAGCTTTTAAGAAACTTGTGAGAGAAAACACAAACTTTTTTGCCTCAAAAAGTCTTTGATGCACGCGTTTAACAAAGCAGAAGCAATAATGGCGGTCTCAAGTTTATTTCAAGTGGCAGCATGCTCGTTCACTGAGGTCCGTAGCATAAGCTGCATGAGGCACTGGCTCCAAAGTTTTGTTGTTCTCACAACTAATTCCTCCAAATCACTCTTGCCACGTACTTCATTCACAATGCCTTAATACGTGCACAGTTTTGCCGCGTTGGCATCATCATCGGCTGTAATCAAACCATCGCAATAGATGTCCCACCCGCTCTCTCATGTCGGAGTCGACGGCGCGCTGCCACAAATCGCCGCCGCAGTGGTTCTGTTCGGAAGCTTCAGGCACGGCATCGGGCCTGACATCGAGGAAGTCGGCCTCGTGAAAATAGTTTCGCGTGCATGTACCCATCACCGCCGCCCACGAAATATTCACTATCTCCACAGCTGAACACCAGGACGCCCGAAGTGGCAAGGTGGCTGCCAGGTGGTCAACGGCTATGAGCAAGCACTTTGCAACATGGCACCTAATGCGCGGATTACACTCAAGCCAAGCAGTCACATTTTCGACGTTTTCTTGAGCAGCAGGAAAAAGCATGCAAGTCCTCTCGTCTTCCATCGTGACCACACATGCACAGCAAGAGCGAGCAAGACCCGAACATGCGACACATATACCAGAACGCGTGGAACAGCTCTGGGCCAATTTCTAATCAGAAAACAAAACTAATTCGAGCCAGCGTGGCTGGCGTCGCGGAGCGGTGGAGACGGGCGAAGGGATTGTGATCAAGAGAGGTGAGCAGATTTGCGAGAGAAGGGCAAGGAGTTGTGATAGAGTGAAGAGAAGGGAGGATACGGTGGAAGGGCGACCTTTAAAACCAAAACATGCGGGAAGCAGGCAGGTCGGGTAGCTTGGTCTGTTTGGAACACAGTCTCAAGCATTAGCCTGGCTCATGGTAGAATACTCGACTGCCACGCAGGGGGTCTGGCTTCAAACACCATTGTCTCTTGAATGTTTTTTTTTTCCTCATTTTGCTCTTTTATCATTTTACCTATCTATCTGTCTGTCTGTCTATCTATCTATATAGCCACCTATGACTAGGTGCCCTCGTGATCATCTTCTCAACTTGTGGTAGACCAGAATTAGTATCAAAGGGTAAGATGATTTAGGTATTATGACGGTCTGGTTATTATCTGCGTCCCCCTCACCTGTTGTGTGTGATCTGTGATTGGACAGTAGCATCCGCACGTGTTCCCTAATCTAGGAATCTGGGAAGAACATACCCTTTATAATGAGCCACCCAGCTCATTCGACGACCTTTAAAACCAAAACACGCGGGAAGCAGGCAGGTCGGGTAGCTTGCTTGAAAGGTTCACGAAACGTGCAACTCCTGCGTAGAAAAACTTGAAAGAGTGCCTGCGCGCGCAGAAGTCAAAGTACGGCGGCCTGAATCAGCGCGAGCGGCAGTGTTCAAAGAATCGGCGGCCGTGCTCAAAGAATCGTTTTGTTGCGCTGGTGGGTTTGTGTGGCCTCACAGACTTCGATAATTTGTGATTCGTTTCGCACAAATGAACAGACGTTTTTGTGCTTCCGCACACATGCGAAGGGCATGCTGAGCTGAGTGCGAAGTGAGCAAGAACAGGTCATGAACCCGGAAAGAATCGCGAATTATCAAAGTCGGTGGGGCAGCGTACGCTCGTGCACTAGACGCAGACGATCGGATACAGTCGGTGGCCGATGATGTTGGCAAATGGTCTGGTCACTCCAGGCCGGCGACGCCAGCGACAGTACCAGTGATCGAAAACAGGGGAGATGGCCAACCGGTCTTCAAAAGATCGGTGGCAGTGTGAAAACACGGGCTTCATCTGGTGATGAGGGGTGCTGGGAGTAGCGGGAAAACAAAGGACGGAGGAGTGCATAACAAACAGCAGTCGGGGAGAGCGGCAACTAGAGGGGCACGAAGGCAGGGTAGCCGTTTAACAATAAGAATGTATGGGCACCTTGCAGATGCCTGATCGGTGGTCGAAAGTGGTTTCCCGAAAAGTCCGCAGAGCGCCGACCCAGTTCCCTGTAACCGATCGGCGGCGTTCAGAAACGCTCATTGTAAGTGCGATTTTGTGTCATTGAACAAATGTATATTTTCACGGTCACGCAATATTGTTAGTAGTGAAAATTTGTTTTAAGTGGGGCCGTACATATGTGGACTCGACTGTACTACGGCTTAAGCGATCACCCAATGAACTAATCTCTTTGGAACTCAGTCGGAGATTCATTGCAACTGTTTTAACCATTAGTACACTTAAAGCAGATAGTACATATTAACGAGGTTTGACTGTACCACCCTGCACGCTTCATCATCCTAGTCAGATGAAAACTTTCATGCTGCTATATCTTATAAGAATGTGCTTAGGAATCTTCTCCATCTATTTTTTTTCCCTGTAATTTCCTGCAAACTATTTGAGAAATATTCTAGAAATAATTGACAAATACTCAAAAACTATTCGATTTGATTCGCACTCATACTTCAATATTTCAACTCACTTCGCACCCAAAATTTTGCTATTTGCAATGCTCTAACAATAAGTCAAACTTTAATTAACAAGCTTCTATATAACAGAATAAATTGCTGATCTCACCAACTTAGCTATACGAAAAATCGATTGTAATTTCTTTCAAAAGCTCATCATGTCGACAAAAAATAAGTTTATGACTGTTTAGAGAATAACAAACTTAAGATAGACTACCTAGGATAGCTGTGCAGCTATCAATATTCGATGGCATTACCTGTTAATAGTGGCAGAGACTGCAACGTGCAGTGTCTGCTAAATAACTACGATCTTCAAACATCAGCACAAGAGCTTCACCAACCAGTTGTTGCTACACTTACAACTGCACGCTAGGTAGCCAACGCTATACTCCTGGTTCGCTCACACTTGTTCCCTAACTGGGAAAAAACAACTTACTAGTGCAAGAGTGACAACTTTCTCTCAGCGCCATTCACAGAGACATGCACTTTTCTTTACCTTACTACATAAAAAACCACCCGTCACAGTGGTTATACTTTATGTTGCCATTACACATCGAAAGATGTTGAGTGCAAGCCAGCATGGTCTAAACATATGCCAATGTTCTGAAACAGCCATTGCACTGATAGCTGAGATAATATGAGGACAGGTGTAACATCCCCAGAGGTGACTGGAAAACAAAGCCCACTTTTGAGAAGAGATGTGAGGAGGGCGTCGTGTGTGTGGGGCTAGAGAAGCTAGGAGTACTCACTGTTATAGCCTGATTGACAAGCCTGGCACTGTGCTCCCTCATAACACCAAGGGCACGCAATGCTGCACGGCTGCGGGCCGGAAGTGCAGACTTGGATGCCACAGTTAAAGGGTAGATGAGGGCCTGGAAAAAGACATTTGGGCTATCACTCAATTATACTTGACATCCACAAACTACAATTAGGAGTGTTTTATAAACCACTGCCACACAGCAGCCGCTGATTTCAACAGACCCTTTCCTTAAAGGAGCGCTGAAACACTTTTTTGAATAACCATGGAATTGATTCACTGAAAAAGCATATTACCTCACAAATTGAATGCCACGAAAATTTTAAGAATCCGTCCAGTACGAGCTGTGTTACAAAGATTGGTCACACGCTTCGATCACATTCTCTCTTCTCTTGTCCCGACGAAAGCGCTGGAAGCTGAGCAGGGAAGGGCAAACAAAAAACGTCACTCGCGCCTCCTGACCTTGAGCATTTCTTTTTTTTCTCCTTCGAATATGCAGCTTTTTCAGTGCGATCGCACGCGCACACATGGACAAGTGACAGCCTTTCACAGCGACCTCTGTAACAACAGAGCGCGCCATGTTTAAATCAGCCAATGGCTGATAGATGGGCTTACTGGGCTTGATTCCATGATTTGTCAAAAGGAGAGAAAGCTATTTTTAGCTGACATTGATAATTTATTGTGAATTACAGGCTGCATGCTGCACTATAATATTTGGCTTGTGTGTTGTCGGGAGTCTCTACTATGGATCGGCAGAGTTTTTTGACATTCTCAAAAAGTGTTGCAGGGCCCCTTTAAGAGGAGACGTGCCTTTCGAAACTAACTTTTGTTTCTGTTTGGATGTTAATGAAAACTGGCACAGACACTAAGAATGGCTTCACAGTGTTTCCGTAAAAATTTCCTAGCGATACCACAACAGCTTAATGAGACAAATTATTTATTCACTGAGCCTCGTTCACTGTAAATCCTCCACTGTAAATTCACTGTAAATCCTCCAGCCCCTCGTGGAGGGGCTGGAGGATTTACAAAATGACAAAAATAGTTGGTAATTACTGTATGCACAACCAAATGTTAATTTTTTTTTTGCAACACTAAAACTTGTGCTTTACGTTTTCTCCAACGACACTGCAATGAGCACACTTTCACTACGAACAAGAAGCCCCCCAAAAAATTCTTTAGCAGTAAATAAAATAACGAAGATTGCAGCCCCCTGAAGCACGGTTCAAGGAGCGTTACAAAACAAACGGAATAAAAATATGTGAAGTGATTGCCAAGATATCTGCTCCACGAGATGAGCATAAGTCTCACATTCTTTTTACGTTTCTAAAAAACTTAAAAATTGTGATCTTAGGTTTGTCTTGTGATGTTTGACTTCTCAGGCATGTGGCGTCTGCCCAGTTTGCCTTTGCTGCCTATATTTTTTTTTCACAACCTTTAAAAAAAAAAAACAAGTATGAATTTCAAACCAAGTTTTCAGTATGGGGGGGGGGGGGTAAACAACAAGAGGGAAGGCAGGGAGGTTAACCAGGCACATGCCCGGTTTGCTACCCTACGCTGGGGGAATAGAAAGGGGGCATAAAGATGAGAGAGAGAGAGAGAGAGAGAAAAAAAAGGAGGATTGTCAGTCAATCGGCTGGCGCGTATGCAGCGGTGGCACTACACAAAAGTTAAAGGTGGTCACATAGGCCTGTAGTCCTCAAAAAGCACAAGACAGCTTTGGCTGCTTTTTGAGCCGACGAAAGGCGATGACGGTGTTCCAGTAGCATCTGCACAGAGAGTGGCCGATCGTCCAATTGTCGCAATGCGTCCGAAAGCTTCTGTATTTCAGAGGCAAATCGAGGGCAATGGCATATAAGATGGTCGATGTCTTCTTTGGTGCAGCAGACGTCGCATTCCGCATTGTCGGTCAATTCGATGAGGGTTCTATATGCTTTTGTGAAGGCAACCCCCAAACAAAGGCGACAAAAAAGTGAAGCTTCACGTCGACGAGTATGAAGGAGTGGTGTGATAGTAGGCATGACAAAATAGATTGTAATCGAATAAGGCCATATACTTAAATGTTTACACATCTCTCTTGTGTCAAGCTGTCACTAGCATTATTAAGTACTTTTTGATTACAAATAATCACTGCACATTTTTCATATAGAGAGAGGTTTCATTGCATCAGAAAAATGGCCAACTCTATGAAAGCCTATGCCTTCCTTCCAAATAGTGAACCGTTATGGGCAAAAAACTGGTGGCAGAGGAATTTTCTAGCTGTCTATTTAATGATGCGAGTCTGGCTTACGAAAATTCGTGCCGTTGCTTCATACGTGCTCTTTTCCCACGCTAGCCGTGAAACGCATCATCAAATGACCAGTCGCGGAAACGCTAATCTACGAGGCTTTTATTGTCTTGGAACATTCATAGACGCTCGCGGCGATACCAAGAACAGCTCTAAACACGTCTAATCACAAAAACTTATTGACAGAACTCCATATGACCATGATCGAAGTGCGCGGCCTCGTGAACAGTGTAGCCGTTGTGTAATGCAAGCAGCGGCGTTTGGTGACAATGCGCGAGATGTGTAGCTGTGAGAATGAAAAAATTGGCAGAACCCACGTACACTGGAATCGATGATATGCGAAGCACGAATGAGGGAGGTTGATATGTCACTTCAAAACCAGCACAATGTTACGAGGTGGAGGTATATTATGCCGTACATGACTTCCATGCCATGATTATCATGTACGGACGTTTCATTTATCTTCATCATCTAATCACGTCACCTGATACCAAAGTTGGTATATGTGGAGCTATCGAAACGACCACGAGCGTGCATAGCATTTAATCAAGTATTACATGACATGCATGCCATGATTATCATGTTTGGACATGTCATTTACCTTCGTTGTCTATTCACGTTACATAATACCAAATTTGGTATATGTTGAGCTAGAAAAACGGCCGCGAGTGGGCTACGAGCATAGCATGTAGTCATGTTTTACATGACAAGCATATTATGAGTATCGTGTTTTGACGTGTTATTTACACTTGTCATACATTCACGTCCCGTAAAACCAAATTTGGTACATGTGAAGCTAGCGAAACGGGCATCATAAGTGCGGCATGTAGTCATGTTGTTACATGACGCGCATCTCATGATTATCATGTTTGCACCAGTCACATAGCTTCATCATCTATTTACGTCCCGTAATAATAAATTAGGTATATGTGAAGCTAGCGAAACGTCCGCGAGTGGATCACGAGTGTGCCATGTAGTCATGTTGTTACACGAGACGCATGTCATGATTTTTAAGTTCGGGTCTGTCGCTTGTGTTCGCCATGCAGTCATGTCATACCATACCAGTTTTGGAACATTTCATGTCTACGAAACCACCACAAGAGCAGCGAGACTATGAAATGTAAATCATGACATTCATGACATACATGTCATAATTTTCATGTTATGACTAGTCACTCATGCTCGTCATACTGTCATGTTATGCCATACCAATTTTGGTGTCGATACGATTATCGAAACGGCCAGGAGAGCTAAAAGGCGTGTGCGGCTAGATAGATAAATAGATAGATACGCTTAAAGACGCCGAAGTTCGCTAAGAAGTTCTTCGCATTTAAAATTGGCGCACACTGTGCTTGGTATTGCATTTTCTAGTGCCGACGCGCGAACTGGTAGCCAGTGTTCTGAGCAATCTATGGCAATGGAGGGGGGGGACGAGCTTGACTGTGGGGTCCACAGCCGATGCGAAAAATGCCCGTCCACGATTCCGAGGAGCCTGCGAGTGATGTGCTTCAATTCTTGCGAAAAAGCACATTGCCATGAGTGCACTAGCGCGTCGTTCTTGCCCGCAAAGTTTGTCGTGCCGCCAGCAGAGTCAGGCCTAAAAACGACTCCGACGAAGTGACGCGCTCGTAGCCTGCACGCTTGCTCGTAGTATAATCTGATCGAACTTTACAGCTCCTAACTAAAGCATAATTGTGATCGTCAAGCCGTGAACACGTCACAAAGTAGCGATTCTCGAAAACCATTCCCTCGCGACGCACACGCAGCAGACGATCTTCCGGAGCGAGCAAAGTGAGGCGATCTGGGGCAGCATAGCGGCCACAGCCAATCAAGGGCCTCAAAACGACCTTCGAACTATAGAGTTTCCTAAAAGTAACAAGAAAAGACACTGGTGCTGCGATCGTTCAGTGACCATAGGAATTATGGGTATGACATAGATTTGCCTAGTCTTTGTGCTTGCGGGTGGCGAACACACTTGTGGCTTTGTTTATTGCAGTGTTTTGGTTTTGTTTCGAAGGCAAGAATAAAGCATTTTTCCCCTTTGTGACCCGATTTGAAGTGGTAAGCCTAAAAGATTAAGGTGGTGAGGAGTAACTGCCGAACATTTCCCAATTGTTGCTTCGTGACAAAGCAGCTTCAAGCTACACGAAGCCAGAACAAACGTAAAGTACAAAGACTAGGCCAATCCATGTCATACCACAATTCCCATGCTCGCTGAAGCGTTATTCGTTGCAGCCCCCATAGACACTAGCGCCAGAGTTCCCTCTAGTGTATGTTCAATAAACTCTATGCTTCTAACGTTTGCTTTTTGTGTGCTAGTTTTTAAAGGGAAGAGCCAGCTGGGGCGGGAAATTCGAACACGAACAAATGCTCCTTCCGATGAGCCCAAGTAAATCGCTCTCAGCCACGCCATCACGAAGCAATAGTTTTCTGAAAACCGCTGTTTTCTCGGGATTTCCAGACATATTTTTGATACCTAAGTGGGTGAAACGAATTTTCCGAAGCACTTCTGTGCACTTTTTCAGTGTAGATAATTTAGAATCAGATAGAAAAAGGGTTCCAGAAACTGAAAACTTGATTTTCAAAAAATCCATTTTTTTACATTTTTTGCGATACAAAACACGTCCCCCCTTAATTGTAAAGCTAGCTTTCTTGCAATGCAATTTCGCCAACCAATGACAGCTAGTCACTTTTGCAAACAGCATGTTCAAGTGCAGTACACTTGTGCTGTGATACGGAAAATGTAGACTCTGCTCTCGTGATGTAAGCATACATAACAGGCAAGCCCCAGTACAGGCAGCTACGACCTCTTAACCACTAGAAACGCACCA